ATTAAAAAAAAAAAAAGAAGCAGATGCATCCTTCCCCAATCTGGTTGCCATGCTGGTATTTGACACATGACCATGCATCCAGCAACCCTAAATTTCCTGACATCAGAATCGTGGTTTTGCTTTAGCATGCCATTGGTTACTTGGCATTTTTAGCATCATCCTGAGCTTTTTGCCTTTCAAACACTCAACTTATTCTGATTCATTATATTCTATCTGTAGAGCTCATTCCCCTCACTTGCTTCAGATCTCTGATCAAATATTACCTTATCAAACCCAGACCACCCTCTGTAAAAAGTATTCCCATCATTCTCTACCTCCCAAATCTTATTTTACTCTCTTCATGGTACATATCACCGTATTACTTGCCTATTTACACTTGTTTGCCTCCCCTGTCCCATAAAAATATAAGCTTTCTGAGAGCAGGGGGCCTGTCAGTGTGTTCTGTTATATTACTAGAACAACAACAACAACAACAAAAAAGACACACACAAAAAACAACAACAACAACAAAAAAAAAAAACCCAAAAAACAAAAAACCAGTGCCTGGCAGACAGTAGTGCCTCAATACATATGTGTTTCCTACATGAATAAATGGTTTGACAACAATTTGTGAAGAAAAGAATCCGGCCTATTTTAGAAATGTTGAAGTGGCAGAGCTTGGAAATATCAGGTAAAACTGAAGAGATTGAGTGGCTACTCATGCAGGGGTGTTGAATGAAGCTAAATGAAACTGGTAGGAGTAGATGAGCTCCTTCAGGTAAAGACAAAGTGCTAAGAGAGAAGAAAATGGTACTGGGAAGAGAGTATCAGAGTCTTTCTCTTGAGAAGAAGATACAGAAGAGAATTCAGCTAAAGGTATGGGGAAGAGGCCACCAGAGTAAGAATGAATGAACCTACGGCATATAGTCCCAAGAGGCAGAAGATGGTCAACCGAGCTCAAACCTGCAGGGAAGCCCAGCCAGATGAGCAGCAGCAGGATTGGAAGGAAGTCACTGACGACCTCCAAAAGACCGGTTTGGGAATAGAGGGCAGAAACCAGGTCTCAGGACCCTGACACATGAAGAGGATGGGGCGAAAAGGTGGAAGTGGAGAGTTACCATTCTGTTTTCATGTCACCTGGGCTTCAAAGGTACCTGAAATATTTGTTGAACAAATGAGTACTCAGATGAATGAATGGATACAATGTTCTCCCCAGAACCAAGATGGCACATAAACTGTGGCTGAGGTCATGAGACTCAACTGGTAAACAAAACACTCTTTTGAGCAGCACATGCTGCACAAAAATATTTCCTTAATCAAAATCAATTTTCTGAGTGGTTTTCCCTCAATAAACATGCAGTTTATTCCTATAACTCATTTTTAATGAGCTCCTATGACTTTCGTTTGTACTTTGCTTTTTATCTTTGTTTAAAATGCATTCTTGATTAATGGAGCCTTTAGAAATTTACCTTGAGGCTCCATCTCTGTCTCAGTGGGGCCTAACTCTTGTATTCTTTAGGACTGAAGGCCTTTCAGCTGCGCTCCATTGATTTGGCTTCCCAGGTATGCCAAAGGCAACTCTGATTCATAAAGGATTCCATCCCGAAGTGAACTAATAAAAGGCCTAGTTAGGAAAGTGTCATGATAATAAACTATATGGAAGATGAGAACCCGCTCAGCTTTCCACCAGAAGTACCATCAAATACTTACATGAAGAAACGTATTTCTAGTGGGATGTAAATATCACATTATGGATTAAGTTTCTTGCTTTTCTGAACCTACAGCAAATTTCTCTTCGTCAGTACCTATGGTTCTCAAATGACAGCTTGCCTTGAAAGCACGTGGGGGATCTGTTAAAAAACAGATTACTGGGTCATACTCCCCCAGTTTCTGATTTAGTAGGTCTGGGGTAGATAATTTGTACTCTAACAAAGTTCTCAAGTGATATGGCTGCTGCTGGACAGAACCGCACATCCAAAGACCACTGGTCCGGGGCACCTGGGCAACTCAGTTGGTTAAGAGCCCGACTTCGGCTCAGGTCATGATCTTGCGGTTCATGAGTTCCAGCCCTGTGTCGGGCTCTGTGCTGACAGCTCAGAGCCTGGAGCCTGCTTCTGATTCTGTGTCTCCCTCTTCCTCTGCCCCTCCCCGGCTTGTGCTCTGTCTCTCTTTCTCAAAAATAAATAAACATTAAAAAAAACTTTTTTTTAAGAGACTACTAGTCTATGTTATACTGTACATTTTCGTAATTTCTTTTTCTACTTTTCTGTTGTCCTTCAGAGAAAATGAGTCAAATTCTCATTTCAGTGCTACTGCCCTGGCTTCTGTAGGTTTCTTGTGAAAAACAAAAATAAAGATAGAATAAAACTTTAAAAGTGGAAACAAAGGGATGTTAGAAGTAACCAAGCCTGAGTTTCCAGCCTTCTACTCCGTTTTAAGTGGAATGGTTTTATTTTAGTCAATAAGACGTTAGTGCCTCTTAAAAAATAAGAGCTCAGCTGAAATCATACAAATGGGATACAACTGTCTAACATTAAAAAGTAATTCTCTTTCAATTGCAAAACATGCATAAAATAAATCCTTGTCCCCATCACAATCTCTCAACACTTATCTAGAAAAGGAGGGTGGTGGTCATAAAATGACAGGGAAGAATGACACTTGCCACACAGACCTTTATTTTTCCCTTCTTTATTTTGTTTTTAAGTCAAAGAAGAAACAGCACACCTAGAGTCTAAAAACAAGCTAACGGTAGACTATAGTGCTTAAGTTGGGATCTTTACAAGTAAATTCTTTTTCTTCCTTTGCTTAATGTATTGGCAAAGAGAGGAGAGACAGCACGGTACCATAGTAGGGCATAATCTGACTTTGTGTGCAGAACTGATGGGGCAAGTCATGTGAGTCTCTACATGAGCTTCTCACCGGCTCTACACTTGAGCAATTCCAAAGAGGTTAGGGCCGCGTTGATTAAAACATGTGTAAGAACAAATTAATATTTGAAGAGGTACCAGCTGTAGATTTCTGCTTATCTTCCATTTCTAAAAGGTAAAGATTAAAAATAACATTAAAGCAATATTCCAATATTTTTGAATAAAATAAGTATTAGCTTTCTCAGAGATTTCACAGCATTAATTTCTAAAGGGCACAGTGTTCTATTTATGCTTGATGTGCTCCTTTCTCATGCACAAATAAACAAATTAACTAGCTAAGAAAGGCATATTCAACACTAAACAAAATTTAAATGGTAAAGGATTGTCTATGCTCTTACCCAAATATATTATTATACTATCTAGCAATAAAGTGTCTGTAATGAAGGTAAAAATACAGAATCCACACAAACCTGACATCTGTCCTACAGGATGTTAAATTGATCAGTTAGCAGACATTTACTGAACTCCCAATGAATGTCCTCGTTTGGTCTGTCCATCACCCATTTCCCATGGAAATTAGTATTCTTTGCTCACTATCCATAATGTTGATTTTCATTGGCTGGATTTCAGCAAGTTGCCCACTGTGTAAGTTTTTGTACTTCAAATCTCTGATTTTCATTCTCCATGCACAAAATAGGCAGTCAGAACTCTTAGCCAACTTAGTATACATGTCTTGAGCACGAATACTGGAAATAATGGCAACTTCAAAAGCTTACCATTTACATTCTTTATAAACAACTTCTGAAGTCAACATAGCTATTAGTAAGAGAATCCAAAACAGAGTCACACAACTAGTAGTTTAATTGGTCGACAATGCTACTTTTATCACGAGCCCACTGGGCTGTCATCATCACAAGCCCCAGTGAGAGATTTCATTACTGTTTTGTTCACTCTTCCACAAAAGAACTGAGGGCCCATTTAAGGGTTCAAATACCTAAGCACATTTATTAATCCATCCTTGAGAGAGTAAGAGCCTTTCAGCTTTGGTGGCAAATCGGTGGGGAGTCCAAGTCATATATCATATCACCTTCACATCCACCTCCAACCATGGCTATGAAGTGCTCAGAGGATACATGGCACTATTCTAATGATAAAATATTTTGGATGAAGGTAGAAAATTGTATAGAATCTCTACAAATCTGACTCTATTCCTAGAAGGAGGTTTAGTTGATCAATCAGCCAACATTTACTGAAATCTCCAATAAGCATCTTGTTTTTGTCTGGCCAGCATCTATTCCCCATTCTGCTGGCACAAAAGCCCATCTTTTCCTTTTGGGAACCACCTTTTCACTGATTTCAGTGCGTATGTTATGGAACAGAGAAGACAACTGATCCCACTCCTTGGCTGAAGACTTAGCCACATAATTCAAGCTGGACACATAACCCAGGACAGTCCAATAAAGCCAATGAACATCGGCCCCAGGGCTTTGCTGGATCTACTGAGGGAAGCTCTCCCTCTACTGCCAGAAGGCATAGTTTAGCTTACAATAAGTGCAAAATGGAGACCAAGGAAAGCAGACACAATACACATAGAAGGAGAGATTCCTCATGATAACTTTGGGTTACCTGATCCAGCATGACTAAATATTCAGCCAGACCCATTCCTAAGCCTTCTTTATCACTTGCTATTAGTTACTGTGTAAGTTGGGTTTCGTTAGTTTGCAACCAGGAGTTCTGAAAAATTATAAGCAACCTAAAACTTGAACCACATTAAGCAACATGCCAAGGATACAGAGATATAACAAATAATCTCTGCCTCAAAGAATCTTTTCAGCATCTAGTTGGAAAGCTAAGACATAAACACACAAAAAACCTAGAAACAAAAGACTCAATACTATGATAGGTTCTATGATATTTCCAAGAAGGGAGACACCACCATAGGCTGCACATTAAGCAAGATTTCACAGTATAAGAAAATAGTGAGCTGAGTTTTAAAGGATGACTAGGATATGACTGCCTAGAAAGGACATGAAGGACATTCAGAAAGAGTGAGCTGTGGGAGCAAAACTTCAGGAATGTGCATATTGTATTGGGGAAACAACACAGTATAAACAATAAATAGACCATAAAATGTTGAATCATGGGATATCAACAATGTGACTACATTAGGGGAAGAAGAATTCATAATCAGTTTTCTAATGATACACACATTATGTATAGTATTTTAAATAGACAAGAGATCCTACTGGTCAATTAGATTACAATGACAAAGTGTTGAAACTGCACTCAAAAGCTAAATGTGTTTTTTCCCTTTGCATATGGTAGACAAGCCTCTCATGCCACCAGCAACCTTGGCTTACTACTGAAGTACCTATCATCTAGAACTAAGGGCTATAAAAATAAGCCATGCTAACACACTTCACTTAGCTGCTGTTTAAGAAGTTAGAACAAAGAGTAGAGCCATGAGCCAAGAGGAGGTTATAGAAAGTCAAACATCTACCAAGGAAACAAGTGGAGCCATAGAGTTAATCTGATTTGCTTTGTCCAGTTTCTCCATGAGATACAAAGTTTACAACAGAAACGATCGATGGTATTTTCTATTTCCACTGTGGTTTTAGCCATTTCCCTTGTGCCAATATGAAGTGTCTGTATCCCTCTTTCCCCTACTTGGGGGTATTACTGTTTAGTTAGAATAAAATGTTTTATTTAACTTTTTAGAACTTTATTTTACCAAGGGCCATTATCAGTTTTGTACTGAATGTGAAACTTTGTAATTATTCTATAACTTAATTATTACTATTTCTGATAAAATATTTCTCAGGGCTATAAACTGTTTCCTGGAAATTTTACTGAGAAAAATGAACTCAGCATAATTCCTTGGCCATATACTTTTCCACCTAGAGTCACTGGACTCAGTAATGTTTTCATAAAAAAAGAAAGTCTCGAATACCTAGCCTGTTGATAACCATTTAAATTTTTATGTCCACTTGTGGGATCATGATAGTGCTTTCTGCCAGTATGACACCTGTCCATTTGACATGAGCATGTCATGAAGGAATAATCACACACCCTCTTATAGAGGACCTCTCTTCACAAACATCAATTAACATAACTTCAGGACTCTGTAAGATAACTACTGCTTTGGTCGTTGTTTACAGATAGAAATTGAAACACTCGAAAGCCCCTTTTTGTCAAGTTGAGGTTAGGAAAGGAAAAGGAATTGGTCTATGATTAGACATACTTTTATTCTGAAATATCTTTGTAGCAAAAGCTTTAAAATGTAAAAAAGCTATACTACAGGCTAATTTTTCACTCTTTATAGTGAAATGCATTCTTTCATAAAGCAAATGAATAGATGATTACATCTTCTCCCTATTTTAGGAAAAAGTAGCTCTGTACTTTAAATTTAAAAACATATATTCACTAAGTTTTATATTTATTGAATGGTGGAATTGAGATTTTTAAAAAAAAATCATTCAACACATGCCTTATCGGTGATAGTCACTGTCATCTTTTAAACTGAGAAATAAAAAATTATCACAATATATATATGTATAGCACACAGTATAAACTAAAGCTTTGAATAAGGTTTCAGTATTACATGAAGCATACAGAATACGAAAAAAAAGTAAGATGGTTTCCTGTTTCTTGGGAAAAGTATCATAGAAGGCAGAATAATATCTCCCCAACACTTCACAAAGATGTTCATGTCTTAATCCCTGGAAGCTGTGAATATGTATGTTACCTTACATAGCAGAAGGGATCTTACAGGTGTTGTTAAGATAAGGACCTTGAGGGACCCATAATTATTCTGTATTATCTGAGTGGACCCAATTTCATCAAAAGGATTGTTTTGTTTTGCTTTGTTTTCATCACAAGGATTGTTAAAAATGGAAGAAGGAGGCAGAAGAGAAGATCCAAGTGATGTGACATGAGAAGGACCAGATCCGCTAATGTTGCTGTGAGGACGGAGGAAGGAGCCATGAGCCAACGAACGTCAGTGGCCTCTAAAAGCTGGAAAGAACCAGAAAATGGATCCTCCCCTAGAGCCTCCAGAAAGGAATGTAGCCCTGCTGACACCTTGATCTTAGCTCAGCGAGACTCATGTTGGACTTCTGACCTACTTAAACTGCAAGATAATGAATTTTTTTAAGACACCAAGTTTATGGCAATTTGTTATAGAAACAATAGGAAACTAATACTGGTATCATGTTCCAAATTAGCAGGACCATGAAAAGCATGACTGTGACAGCCCCTCGGTCATTCTGGAGCTAGAAGAGACTTTGGTCTCATCTCTTCATGGTCCAGATAAGGAAATTAGTCCAGATATAGTGAGAAGAAATGTGGTTTACCTTAAGCCTCAGAGTTCAAGCTAGAGACCGGACTAGAATCTAAGTTCACCAAACTCTCGATCTGCGTTAAGTCATAGCATGCCTCCCAGCGTCTTTTACCAAAGGAGGGCTCTGATTATGGTTTAATAACAATATGCAGAACTCTCTGAAAGAATGAACAGTTGTTGAAAAGTGTACACATTTTCAGATAATGCGCAGAAGTACACTGCTTCGCTGTTCTAACCTGTCTCCAACTGGCTAAACATATTCACTTGAATTATCACACATCACTTGTAACAGTATATCTGAGATAAAAACCGGGGTCTTGCTCTCACAGAAAGCTTCCTCTGGAGTTTTCTGGTTTTCTCTTTTACACCCTTCTGTGGCTTCCCTTATCCAACCACTCAAGTCCTGTCATGCTTCCTTCCCCATGGAGGTTCCTTTCCTTGCATTTCTACTACTACCTCTTACACCAACGCTAGACAACCACCAATAGATCTCTTTTCTTCAGCTTCCCTCCTCTTCAACTTCCAATTAATCCTGTACAATACTGCCAAATGATTCCTTCTAAAATACATCTTTCTTTATATCATTGGTTTGTCCCCACATATTCAGTAGGACTCCATTTCCCAAATGGGATCAAATTCAAACTCCTTATTCTATCCTTTGACAGCTTCATAGAATTTGACCTCATTTTTTAAATAATGTCTCCTCTTCCAATTTCCATCTATGAACCTATTTAATTGATTCACTGCCCTATGAACAAGATTCATTCTCCTCCATGTCATTCTCTTCTCCTAAAATATCCCCTGTGCTTCCTTCTCCATGTATCTGAATTCTACCTGTATCAAGGTCTTGTGAAGTCCCAGAATCTTTCTGGCATTTCCCAGGCCAGACAACCTACAATTATCTCACCTTCCACTTTGAAGCACTAAATCTCTTACCACTCATTTTAGTTTTTATTGCCAGTGTCTTCTGCATCTCTAGAGTTTAAACTCTTAGATTTTAAGCCATTTGGGACCAACCAGGCCCCCCCACCTATTGGCACTGTACTTAGCACCCAGAGTTTCCCTTTTAAAGCAGGACCTCAAAAATGTAGGGAGCCACCAAAAATAATTTGAAAATTTAAGATGAACATTCAGAATGACAACTCCTCCACATCAACAGTGATAAAAGCCAGCAATGAGCACTACTCTAAAGTTAATGGCACCATTTAAGAAGTATAGCCATACATTTGAATTTTCCCAGAACAGTCCCGATTTCCTGCTGGTTTTCCAGTTCATGGATAATGTTCACTTTTACTCTCAAAAGCATCTTGGCTTAATTAATAGATTATATGGCTGTTCCACCCACAGGGCACTTTGAACTACAGTAAGGCAGAAACCAGAAAGAAAATCCTGCTCATGTTGCAGCCACCCATCCAGCTAAGCAGCATTCTCTCCTCTCCAGAGCAACCCTGCTCTCAAGCACCACCTCTGTGTAACCAATGTCCTTTGAATTTCATGTGGGAGGTTCAAACATTTTGGTGACACATAGCTTCAGAAAAATGTACTGAAGTTGAATGCAATTTGAGATTCTTTAGAAGAAAAAAATAATCATAGAGATTGAAGACAACTGCAACTCTACCCAGCAGTTTAAGAACAAAAGGGAGGTCAGGTCACGATCTCGGGATTCAAGCCCCACTTCTCCAAGCTGGGTGTGGAGTCTGCTTAAAGATTCTCTCTCCCTCTCCCCGCCCCCCACCCTCTCTCAGAAGGAGAAGGAGAAGGAGAAGGAGAAGGAGAAGGAGAAGGAGAAGGAGAAGGAGAAGGAGAAGGAGAAGGAGAAGGAGAAGGAGAAGGAGGACAACAACAACAACAACAACAACGAGAGTTTTCTAAAGAAAAAGAGAATTCAATGAGTTCCCCTAGAAGTAATCAAGATACAGTGTGAGTTAATTTATACTATAATTGTTTTGTTATTTTCTGAATAAAATAATAAGGATCATTCACACCATTTCAATTTTTCTGAACAATAAGTACATATTACTTTCACGACTGTTTAGAATTAGAAATGTGATGCCTTCTGATCCTCTTAGTGGCTAATGTACATTAAATTGACTAACCACTGCATAAATGTTTTAAAACCTACATTCATTTTCACAGTTGGCTGGTTGAAATGATCAGTTTCATAAATGAATGTCAGTGGTATCTAAACAGTAATAACTTTTTACTGCAAAGTAAGATTTTTCTCTATAAGTAATGAATAAAATTATTAAATGTAATCTTATATTATGTTTCATTACTGGCAGCTTGTCATAAAAAAGGAATTAAGGTTGCAAATTTTCATTTATTTTCATAAAGTAGATCAGCATTTTCATTCATTTGTAGTGAAACTTACTCAATCTAATCTCTTTTGAGGGTAGTTTTAATTACATTACATCATTCTACACAGGGTTGAGAGTTCATGTTCCAAACTGTTCCCTCCCTAAACTCTTCAACTTTAAAGGTATCTGGGGAAATGTTAAGTTCAACTAATGTAACTATACAAAATGAAAACTATCAAATGCATATCTTGGGCTCAGGATCACTCTCAAGTGTTTGGAATGGATTTTATAACACCATTTAGGTTACTTCTAAGTCACTATGGCCCAAGTTGGTAGTAACTAAAAAGGATTAATTTCAAAGATTTATATCATTAGCAGTTAATACTTAAATATCAATTACACTGAAATTATTGATAATTCTATCACTACTAAGGACTCACTGAACTCAGATGGCAACAGCTATAACATTTGAAAAAAGACAAAAGCATCTGGATGAATTATGGTAAAGGTTAATAATATTCGATATCGAGCAAAACTCTTCATCAACTATTTTCCTCACCTCACTACTTCATAAGATAAGTACCACATCATTTCACATTCACCTAAATAAAAGCAATTACAATTTGATATTTGGTTGTTTCTAGTTGTTTTATGTCAAGAATAAAGACCCATTTGTCATCAAGTGTCACCCTCCTTCAACTGTGCCTTCAGATGGCAAATTCCATCAGAGACAGAACATTCTGTAAGGCACAATAGAGCGACCAGACGTTGGCATTATCAAATGGGCTCTCCCGTCATGATGAAGTATTTACTCTAAAGGTCAGCATTCTCTAAGTTTAGCTCCTTAAAAGATAATTAAGATATTAAAATTTTTTAATACAAAGGGAGGCTTCTAGGCAAACTAGTTTTTGTATAATCTCTTTCTGCTTAACTGGGAAAAGCAGCACAACATCCTAAAAATATATGAAAGCAACTGTTTACCAACATGGTTAATCTGATTATCATCCCCATGTATTTTGTGCACGTTTTCACTCAAGAAACAGGGAACTAAACAAACCCATGAAAATACCACGTTTCAGTTGCTAAGTCCCTGGTAATGTATATTCCAATCTAAATTTTATTTTTTTAATGTTTTTTGTTTTTGGTTTTGTTTTTGTTTTTGAGAGCAAGAGAGAGTATGAGAGAGGGGCAGAGACAGAGGGGGACAGAGGATCTAAAGCAGGCTCCTTGCTGACAGCAGAGATCCCAATGAGGGGCTTGAACTCACAAAGCATGAGATCATGACCTAAGCCAAAGCCAGATGCTTAACCAACTAAGCCACCCAGCACCCCCCCAATCTAAATTTTCCGTATCCAATTTTTAAATATCTTTAATATTTTGGCATAATTTATAAATTCCTACTATACACTTATTCTAATTCCATGCTACATACTTTTTCACTATCACATACTTACTAAATGTTACTTTTTAAATTTTTTCAATTATTTTAATAAAGTTAGGATCAGTGGTTGTTTCAATGCAAAGCAATTTTCCTTTTCAATTTTTTTCTTCTCACAAGTTTCTGACACTCCCGGGTTTTTTTTTTTTTTCTCCTTCCAAGATTTTATTTAAATTCAAGTTAGTTGACATATAGTATAGTATTGGTTTCAGGAGAAGAATTTAGTGATTGATCACTTACATATAACACCCGGTGTGCTTATCACAACAGTTGCCCTCCTTAATGCCCATCACCCATCTAGTCCATCCTCCCACCCACCACAGCTCCAGCAACCCTCAGTTTGTTCTCTATAGTCTCTTATGGTTTGCCTTCCTCTCTGTTTTTATCTTATTTTTCACTTCCTTCCTCTATGTTCATCTGTTTTGTTTCTTAAATTCCACATAAGAGTGAAATCATATGGTGTATCTTTCTCTGACTTATTTCGCTTAGCATAACCATTGCAAATGGCAAGATTTCATTCTTTTTGATGGCTGAGTAATATTCCATCATGTATATATACCACACCTTCTTTATCCATTCATCAGTCAATGGGCATTTGGGCTCTTTCCAAACAATTGGCTATTGTTGATAGTGCTGCTATAAACACTGGGGTACATGTGTCTTTCAACTCAGTATTCTTGTATCCTCTGGACAAATACCTAGCAGTGTAATTGCTGGGATATAGGGTAGTTCTATTTTTAACTTTTTGAGGAATCTCCATACTGTTTTCCAGAGTGGCTGCACCAGTTTGCATTCCCACAAATGGTGTTAAGAGGGATCCCCTTTTCTCTGCATCCTTGCCAACATCTGTTGTTGCCTGAGTTGTTACTTTTAGCCATTCTGACAGGTGTGAGATGGTATCTCATTGTGGTTTTATTTACATGTCCCTGATGATGACTGATGTTGAGCATCTTTTCATGTATCTGTTAGCCATTTTTATGTCTTCTTTGAAGAAATGTCTGTTCATGTCTTCTGCCCATTTCTTAACTGGATTATATAGTTTTTTTGGGTATTGAGTTTGGTAAGTTCTTTATAGGTTTTGGATACTAGCCCTTTATCTGATAGGTCATTTGCAAATATCTTCTCCCATTCCAAAGGTTGCCTTTAGTTCTGCTGATTGTTTCCTTCACAGAAGCTTTTTATCTTGATGAAGTCCCAATAGTTCATTTTTGCTTTTGTTTCCCTTGCCTCAGGGAGATGTGCCTAGTAAGAAACTGCTATGGCCAAGATCAAAGAGGGTGCTGCCTATGTTCTCCTCCAGGATTTTGATGATTTCCTATCTCACATGTAGATCCTTCATCCATTTTGAACTCATTGTTGTGTATGCTGTAAGAAAGTGGTCCAGTTTCTTTCTTCTATATGTCGCTGTCCAGTTTTCCCCACCATCTGTTGTTTCCCAACACCACTTTGCAATTTATAAATGTAGCAAATCCACATGCTTTATGACTTAAACATACATAATGTTATGTGTCAATCATATCTCAACAAAGCTCAATAAAAACCATTATACTATCATACAAGTCAATTCTTAGATAAAAATCTAGTTAGTATTGGCTCACTTAGAGAAGGACAAAGAAAAAGAGGAGATATTATGCTCTACTCACATTTACCTTTGATGGAGGAACAAATTCAACACATTCCAGCCATATTGTTAAAAAGTACTTTTCACATATTGCACATTTTCTTCTCTGAGACATTATGTTCCTGACCAGTGGGTGCCATGTTATAGCTTGCATTACAAAAGGATTCTTTTCTGAGAGCTCATTCATTATAAATCTTGATGTTATTTCCTAGATTTAAAAAAAAATATATATTAATTATATTAATTTATATTTTTGGCTTATTCTTCACAATTTCTGTTAAATTAGTTTTCCATAATCTATATAATGAATTTTATTGCCAATGATGGGCATTATAAATTAGTTTTCAATAATATAAGAAAAGAGGGGTGCCTAGGTGGCTCAGTCGGTTAAACGTCCAACTTTGGCTCAGGTCATGATCTCACGGCTTGGGGGTTCAAGCCCTGCATCAGGCTCTGGGCTGAGAGCTCAGAGCCTGGAGCCTGCTTCAGATTCTGTGTCTCTCTTTCACTCTGCCCCTCCCTCGCTCATGCCCTGTCTCTCTCTGTCTCTCAGGAATAAACAAAAGAAAGAAAGAAAGAAAGAAAGAAAGAAAGAAAGAAAGAAAGAAAGAAAGAAAGAAAAAGAAAGAAAAGGAAGTTACTTCCATCTTAATATTTCTATCTCTCTTACATAGAGGAATCCAAATTATTAAAAATTTACATAATTGGGGTGCCTGTGGCTCAGTCAGTTAAGCATCCAACTCTTGGTTTTGGTTCAGGTCATGATCTTACAGTTTGTAAGACAGAGCCCTGTGTCAGGCTATGCACTGACAGCATGGAGCCTGCTTGGAATTCTCTCTCCCTCTCTCTCTGCTCCTCCCCCACTCACACCTGCTCTCTTTCTCTCTCTCAAAATAAAAACAATAATAATTTTTTTAAAGATAAATCCAAAATTAAAAAAATTACATTATTCAAGTTTAGGTTCAAATTTTATACCTCTCATTACAAGCAGCAAGGACTGTGCAAATATTCATACTGGACTCAATAACTGAGTCTGTCATATTTACTAATGTCTAAATCCTTAGAACTTAAACTGTGACTCAAGGACCAGAATCTGCATCATCTGGAAACCTATTAGAAATTCAGACTTCCAGCTATATTCCAGACCTACTGAATCAGAATCTGCAATTTAACAAGTTTCTCCAGGTAATCAGTATGCCTGTTCAACTTTAAGGTGCACTGGTCTAAGTTACCTACTTCAGTGAGTACCTGGATAGTCATATTAGCAAAGAGCACTGATTTCTATTACCCAAATGTCTGAATTCAATCTGTATTAAACCTATCCACACAGCCATGTCCAGAAACTTAACTTTTGGTAATAATTATAATATTAAATAACAAAAGGGTGGCTAGAAAATATAAGCTGGCTTTTGCCATGACCATCAACAACGTCGTCATTTTACAGTAAAATACTATATAATACATAAAATCAAATCTTCACTGAGCAAGCAAATAAAACAAATATTTGATTTACTCTGCTAACTGAGCCTCTTGTGCTGGTAGCATGGAAGCCCTGTATAAATGTTTCACAAACATTGCATGAATTTTAATAATTTATGGAACTGTTTTTTTCTGGCCAAAGTGAAAGATTTCCCACTGGTGTTAAAATGGTCCACAATAGGCTCTAACAGGAATCTTTGGAAATACATACATACATATGTACATACATAATCCTCACTCATGTGCCCAATTAAAATTTTTTTTTTTTTTTTTTTTTAATTTTTTTTCAACGTTTATTTATTTTTGGGACAGAGAGAGACAGAGCATGAACGGGGGAGGGGCAGAGAGAGAGGGAGACACAGAATCGGAAACAGGCTCCAGGTAACCGGAGCCATCAGCCTACAGAGCCCGAATGCTGGGGTCAACTCACGCGACGCTTAGATCATGACCTGGCTGAAGTCGGACGCTTAACCGACTGCGCCACCCAGGCGCCCCCCCAATTAAAATCTTAAAAAAATAACAACAAAATCCTATAAATTGCTGTCTCCCTGTTCCTTATTACTCTGTCCATTCCACCTAACAAGCATCTGAGAAACTGAGAAAGCTGCCTTTATGCACAGTCTCCCTAACTGTCTGATCCTTCAGCAGAATAACCTCCTACTCATTTTAGCTCTTTTTCCTGAATGGTGACATAAAAAGATTATCCTTTCTGAAAGAATTACTCATTCGCACTAATATTACTAGGACTTCTAAATTAGATGTCTATTATCACCTTTTCTTTAACTACTTACACACAGCATAGTGTGTGATTCAGAGTGAAATAATGATTTTAGAGGTAAGTTTTTAGCTACCAGAACTCAAAGGCTAGGTCTCACTATAAAGCAGAAAACTAATAAATAAGGATTCACTCCCCAAAACAGCAGATGGTAGAAAAATTTGTTGGAATACATGGGACCTATAAAAAGGTCACAATTCATACAGTTCACTTTTTCCATTTATGATTTCTGGAACCAAACATGTTTGTTGCACTTGATATGTCTCTTGATAACTCTTATATTACCCATTAATTATATTATTCTCCTACTTGCTGCCAATATGTTACTTTGGAAGAATAACATATACCACTGAAATATAAAGTTATTACTTGGAACTGCTAGTATATATAAAGTAAGATACTATTGGCATGACCAACAGTATTTTTTAGGACATCTCTTAAAAGTAAAGGTCTCTCTCCCAACTTGTGCACTCTCTGTCTCTAAAAATTAAAAAAAAATAGAGGTGCCTGGGTAGCTCAATTAGTTGGGTCTCCGACTCTTGATTTCGGCTCATGTCATGATCTCACAGTTCGTGAGATTGAGCCCGGCATTGGGCTCTGCACTGACAGCACAGAACCTGCTTGTGACTCTCTCTCCCCTCCCTCTCTCTCTCTCTCCTCTCTTCTCTCTCTCTCTGTCTTTCTCTCTAAATAAATAAATAAATAAGCTTAAAAATAAAATCCTAACCAAGGCATAGCCTAAATCAAAGCACTACAATTCTTTGACAGATAAAGTACTTAAATCAGGGCGCCTCAGGGGCACCTAGGTGGCTCAGTTTGGTTAAGCATCTGACTCGATTTCGTCTCAGGTCATGATATCATGATTTGTGGAGACAGTGCCGAGCCTACTTGGGATTCCCTCTCCCTTCTGCTCTGTCCCTCCCCCACTCCCCAAAATAAATAAATTAATTTTAAAAAATACAAACTGAATGGCTCAGTTGGTGGAGCATGTGACTCTTGATCTCAGGGGTTATGAGTTCAAGCCCCACACTTGGTGTAGAGGTTACTAAAAAAATTAAAACTCTTAAAAAATATTTTTTAAAGTAGTTTAAATCAGTAACGTTACCCAAATATCCAGTAAAAAGGATTAAGTACAAATATAAAATGTATAATAAATTTGGTACATTTCTAAGAAAAAAATCTTAGAGATACTTTTAAAAATACCCAAATTATTAATATAAGTAAAAATCATTTTTTCTACTAAGTACAATTGACCCTTTTAATTTTTTTTATTAACTTTTTTTATTTTTGAGACAGAGACAGACAGAGCATGAATGGGGAGGGGCAGAGAGAGGGAGACACAGAATCGGAAGCAGGCTCCAGGTTCTGAGCCATCAGCCCAGAGCCCGACACGGGGCTCAAACTCACGGACCACGAGATTGTGACCTGAGCTGAAGTCGGACGCTCAACCGACTGAGCCACCCAGGCACCACCAACTGACCCTTTTAAACAACACAGGTTTGAATTGTGTGGATCTAGTCATATGTTGATTCCTTTCCTCTCCTCTCCTCTCCTCCCTTCTCCTCTCCCTCTCCTTCCTTCCTTCCTTTCTATTTATTTATTTTAAATTCCAGTATAACATACAGTGTTATATTACTTTCAGGTGTACAATATAGTAATTCAACAATTCTATCCATAACTCAGAGCTCACCACAATAAATGTACTCTTAATCTTCTTCCTGTATTTCACCCATCTCCACCTACCGCCCCTCTGGCAACCACCAGATTGTTCTCTATATTTACGAGTTTGGGGTTTTTTTGTCTCATTTTTCTTTGTTAATTTTTTTTATTAAATTCCACATGAGTGAAATCATGCAGTATTTCTCTGACTGACCTACTTCACTTAGCATTATTCCCTCTAGATCTATCCACGTTGTTGCAAATGGCAAGATTTCATTTCTTTTTAAGGCTGAGTAATATTCGACTGTGTGTGTAGATACGTGTGTGTGTGTGTGTGTGTGTGTGTGTGTGTGAGTGTGTATTTCACATCTTTTTATTATCTATCAATGGATCCATAATTTGGCTATTGTAAATAATACTGCAATAAATGTAGGGTGCATATATCTTTTTGTTTTAGTGTTTTTGTATTCTTTGGGTAAATACCGACTAGTGGAATTACTGGATCATAGGGTAATTCTATTTTTAATTTTTTGAGGAGCCTCCATATTGTTTTCCAGAGTGGCTGCACCAGTTTGCATTCCCACCAACAGTGCACAGGGTTCCTTTTTCTCCACTTCCTCACCAACAGATGTTGCTTCAGGTGTTTTTGATTTTAGACATTCTGACAGGTGTGAGGTGGTATCTCATTGTGGTTATGATTTGCATTTCCCTGATGATGAGTGATGTCGAGCACATCATTTCATGTGTCTCTTGGCCTTCTGTGTATCTTCTTTGGGAAAATGTTTACTCATGTATTCTGCCCATTTTTAATTGGATTATTTGTTGTTTCAGTGTTGAGTTATAGAAGTTCTTTACATTTTTTGGATATTAACCCCTTATCAGATATATTGTCTGCATATATCTCCTTTCATTCAGTACATTGTCTTTTTGTTTTGTTGATTGATTCCTTTGCTGTGCAGAAGCTTTGGATTTTGATGTAGTCCCAAGAGTTTATTTTTGCTTTTGTTTCCCTTGCCTTAGGAGAAATATCAAGAAAAATGCTGCTACAGCCAATGTCAGAGAAATCACTGCCTGTGCTCTCTTCTAGATTTTTATGGTTTCAGGTCTCACATTTAAGTCTTTAATCCATTTTCAGTTTATTTTGTAAATAAGAATGTGACTCAGCTGCAATCTTTTGCATGTAACTATCCACTTTTCCCAATACCATTTGTCTTTTTCTCATGACATATTCTTGCCTCTTTTGTTGTAGATTAGTTGACCATATAATTATGAGTTTATTACTGGACTCTGGGTTC